GACAACTGGATTGTGTCATGTTGGTAAGTATCGACTACCTGGTTAGAGTCCGCGAGATGATAGTAACCGATGGTTAGAGACCATAAACGACATTGCTCAAAATAATTTGCAATGGCGCAAGTGCATCTACTGTTTGTGTTCCCTCAAATTCTAATCTTCAGAATTCCTCATCATCTCTATCTTTCTCTTTCTAAAGTTATCTCACTGAATCATACTTCTTGAATGATATCTTCTAATCCTAACCTTTCCGATTACTTCTAATACCTGTACTACCTCTTCTACTATTGGATTTGAATTGACAATTACATCTCTGTGTGCTAATGTAGTATGGCAGAATGAACTGATGTACTTACGTACGAAGTTCTCCGCTGTAACTGACTGACCGATTGACTTAATAAGAAACAATAGAATTCTTTTTGTGATACCCAACTAAGTAGTTATTGATTTAACTAATATTATGTGTCAGTTCCATATTTTGATGAATCATCTGAACCCGGAACTATTTACGTGTCAAACTAGTTTTCAAACTAATGGTGATAGGTCAACGGTGATGATAATAAAATGTCATCATTTAGATTTGAGCATGTTGCTACATACATCTTGTATACTGTAGGCGAAATGTCACTTTGAATGTCAAGCAGAGACAGTATGCTTCCCTAGTTGTAAAATATTATCTATATTATTTATATTAGAAGCACTGAGTAAATAACATTGACATTAAGCGTTGAGTTAGGGTCAGGTTAATATTTACTTACTTTCTTACTTAATTACTTACGCCTGTTACCCTCACAATAGAGTATAGGCTACCGACCAGTATTCTCCAACCTAATCTGTCCTAGGCGCGTCCCTTTCCAGTTTTGTCCAATTTTTGTTCATTCTTCTCATGCCTGTCTCCATTTCTAGGCATAATGTATTCCTTAATATTTAGTTGAATATTAATAAAACTGATTGCTGTCTTTACATATCAATTAAATTATATCATGAACTAATATATATATAAATAGTGTTTTGGTTCATTCCACATAATATGACACAACTTATTAACCAATCTGAATTGTCATAATTCACTACTAGGCCACTCACTCACTACAAGTGAACAAAGGTGTAAACTATGGAATTACTGTTTCATATAGCTTTATAACAACGTGTGTATGTGTGTGTGTGTGTCGACCCGTTGATTGGTGTTAAATTTTTTAAATTTTACTCGTCACTAATAAAAGCCCACATTGGTGTTTCGAATTATTCGCAGGAAAAAAACAAGAGATTTCCAATTATTATTCGCCGTTGTTTATATCATATCACTGTTGATAGTCTATTGTTCATTGTTTCAATCAATTCATTTCATAATATGAAATTACTGGTGACATTAGATCCCCAGATTTCACCTGGAAAGGGTTCTAATTTTGGATTTTCTGTGTTTTCACGCATAAGTTGCTTAGTTGACCTTGAGCTTAAATTTTTTCCACTCAGAAAATCCTTGACTGTCATTGGTAGATGTAGTACGCTATTTTGTAGCTCTCCCAAGGACATTTCTGTCATGTATAGATAAGTTCGATTTGTGTGCTTGTTAACCTCATATTTTCTGGGTGCTTGTAGAATAATACACTTTCTTCATCCTGTCAGGACTTCTTGCTATAGTTAGCAGGTCTGAGGACAATCGAATCAGGATAGCCTATTGTGTGTCACTGGATCATTTGTGTTCGCTCTCGTTTATCGAGTAAGGTTGTGTTGCGAGCTACTTATAAGTAGTATATGACGTGAGTATCACCGTAATGTCTGGCAGCCGAAGATGAGGGAAGATCAAGAAAGGAAGAGTTAGATAGAACACAATGGAATTTGTGTATGAAACGCATGAATAGTGACAATGGATTGATGTTTTGGCAACAGGAACAGTCCAGTTCGATATGATGATGAACTGATATTTTGCAAATGAACGATTTACGATATGGTTTTTCCGATTTTACTGAGTAACTCTGTAATTTTCGTTAAATACAATTAGGGTTGCCCTCACCTGTGTTCTCGTTCACTACAAGGTGGTGAACTCTTAATAGCATTCAAACATATCAATTGACGAGCTTATTAAAAAATAGGTTAGGTAGCTTTAGACTACTAACTGGTTAAGCTTTCACAGAGATTGTCATGTTCCAAATAGTTGAAGAAATTAGTTGATCAAAGAGAGAGAGAGAGTGTGTGTGTGTGTGTGTGTGTGTGTGAGTAATTGGTCACAATGGTGTCATCTGTGTGTACACAGAGAGTCATTCTTGGCCGCAACATTCTCACTGAATGAGTTCATTCATTATGCCTTAAAACAACCGGAACAACAATAAAAGAAAACATTTTTTTATTCCATTAAACAAGAACTTTATTTATTTTATTTATTTATTTTACTATCAATTTAATGATTAGATTATCCAATATTAACAAGTTTAAGCATGTTATATGATCATATCTATCAAGTGTGTGTGCCTGTATTAGTGTTTGACTCCTATTAGTGTGTACACGTGATTCATTGTGTGTTACTGTGTAAATGGTGTTTTCTTCTTGTACAAAATTTATTGAACTAACTGATTTCAATGTTCATATGTCTGCTTCACAATCACGATGATCAATTTGAAATATGATCATTTGAATAGATTGATTGGTCATATAGATAGATACCTACTTACCGATAAAATATTTTCTTATTTATACTATTAGTCAGTTAGTTAGTTGTCAGTCAGTTACAACGTAGAACTTTGTACGTACGTACGTACATACCACATTAGCAAACAGAGACGCCATAGTCAGTTCAAATCCCATAATGGTAGTTGATAGTAGAAGTATTAGCGGTAATGAAGAAGATTAGTATTTGAAGATATTATTCATAAAGTGTAATTCAATCCAATCATCACGTTAAGGTAACAGCAGCTACGGTTGGGAGTAGTCAGTTTGTAGATAGAATACATAACTATTATGTTCGTCACCTAGTTGATAAACGCGAACGAAACTTTTACCAGCGTCCAGGTAGGCTACCTTGAATCCCCAAGCGGAAGTAAAAAGGCTTTGTAAGCGTAGAAAGTATATTCTACAAACATCCAGCAATCACACAATACAATCAAACATACAACTCTCGTTTATTTATACATCATATAAACATTCTTGAGACAGTTAAGAAAATAGCACACTAAAATACACAGCAGCCAATCACACAGCCATGGATTTTCCTGGTGGGAATTGAAATCTCAAGGTGAACTGATCAGACCATGCTGGCAAATAAGGCATTTAAGAAGCGAGTTTTGGGGATCTAACATCCCCAAGAGAAGCCATAGTCAGTTCAAATCCCATAATGTTAATGATAGTAGAAGTATTAGCGGTAATGAAGAAGATTAGGATTTGAAGATATTATTCAAAAAGTGCAATTCAACCCAATCATCACGTTAAGCTTAGCAGCAGCTACGGTTGAGAGTAGTCAGTTTGTATTAAGAATACTAAACTCTATAATAAATTATTCTTAATTAATTAAAGGATTATCTATGTACACATGACATAGGGAAAATACAATTAGACGACTGACTTAAATAATAACGATCTCTTCGAACATTCACAGCTAATCTTAAAATGGAATGAATATTCATATACTTTTCCATTAATCAGCAGTAAGTAGATTAGGACTTTTTTTAATTCTTGTCAATTTCAAGTTAGTGACTGGTTTAAGATGAGACTACTGAAAAAAAATTTCTCCATTTTTTAAATCTATGATCAACTGAACATTTGTTAAAGTAGTTACATCGATCGATGCCATCAGTGAAGTATTGTTGATTACAGTGTATCATAGATGTGTTGGGTATATGTAGACAGTTAATGAACAAGTTACAAGATTGTTATGTGTCATATTCGCGGAAAACCGAAATATACATTTTGAAACTATGAGTCGATCAATGTTAGATCACCATTAGAAACCTGGAATCACTGGACGGCCGTTTCGTCCTGGTATGGGAGTCATCAGCAGTGTGCATTCACGACTCCTGCACTCCGCAGGATTCGAACCCAGCACCTTCGGTCTTGTGCACGAACGCCTAACCTCTGAACCACTCAGCCGCTCTGACCTACCTTATGGCTGCAAAACATGTCCGTTAAGAGTAGAAGACATTTGTAGGTTATCAGTATTCGATTATAGATGTCTTCGAGGCATTACTCGTGTATCCTGGGACAATCGAGTAATCAATGCTGTCGTTAAGAAACAAGTACTAAGTAAGGATGAAACTTCATCAGTTGAGGTGGTCGGGACATGTGTTACGTATGCTCAACCATCGACTGCCTCGTCGAGCTATGTTTTGTGGTGTACGAGTATGTTGGAAGAAAGCTAGGGGCGGCGAAACCAAAACATTGCAGAATTCCATGAAATCACTAACAATTGGGCTGAGTCATGTTGATAGATGTAAGCTACGTGGTTGGGGTCCACGAGACGAAAGTCACCAATGGTTAGAGTCTTTGCAGGACATGGCTCAAAATCGTTTGCAATGGCGCAGGTGCATCCACTCTTTGTGCTCTCTCAAATTCTAACATGGATTCCTCATCATCTTTATCTTTCTGCTTCTAAATTAATCTCACTGAATTGTACTTCTCGAATCATATCTTTGCTCCCTAATCTTCTCCATTACTGCTAATACTTCTATTATTGCTATCACTGTTGGATTTCATCTGGCAGTTACGTCTCTGTGCTAATGTAGTATGGCTACTTGAACTGATATACGTACGTACGAAGTTCTACGTTGTCATTGATTGACTGATTAAGATTAAAAAATCTTACTGTGCGACTACATGGAATTATTCAAATTGAATATGTTCAATTAATTATGGACTGTAAATATTAAAATGTGTTTCATAGTAGTAAATACTATTTTATATTACAACAATATTGTTTTTTTATTTCTATTTCCTCTCCTCCTCCTCCTTCGCTTCATCGCCTTTCCCCCCTGATTCCACTACGAATAATCAACTATACCGTCTTGCGTGGTCAGTTTAACAATGAATGATGAACGACTTGCAGCATACGATAATATAGTAAGTGTCATTGCTCTTGCTTCTATTGTATATATATTTATATATATATAGTATTTCAACTCGTTTTTTAAACTTTTAACAGGGTTTTTTAAAATAACCAAAACATTTTTTAAAATTTTCACAGCGTTTTTTAAAATTTTTTTGAAAAAATAAAATAAGAACTACTTTTAATTAAAATCTTCTTTAGCAATCGCTTTTAAACAATTGCGACGTACGTGTCTTGAATAACCTTGTAAATCATCTCTGGTTAATTGATTTACAGAATTGAGTGATGAATCTTCGCATTATCAAGTATAAAAATATAATTCTTAAAAATTGATTTTTGATTGCATTTTTCAATTAGTTGATCAAAAAATTGAATGAACTTATCTGAATTCACCGAATCAACAGATGTTTTAGCAAAGAGAACTTCATTTTCTGTTATAGCCGATATTAAACTTATATTGGTTCCACGCGTTGATGGAACTAGGGCAGTTGCCGGTTTTCCTCTTGTAGATCTTCCCAAATTAAAAGAAGATTCATATATAAAAACTTCTATAAATGTATCTTCAATGTTCATAAAATTTTGAGCGTAAATTTGGCGTTTGTTTTTACTGGATTCCGAATTTATATTGACCGATGTATAAGAAATCTTTTTCAAAGTAATCTGAAGTCTATAAATTATCCTTCTTATAGATTCAAGAGAAAGGCCTATAGAAAATATGTTTTCTATTTTTTCTCGAATTTCTACCATCGTTATTAACGGGTTTAATTCTATCAATTCTTCAACAAAATTGATAATATCACCGCATATCTTCTTATTTGATGGTTTTCCTGTTTTTTTTTCTCAACTCGCGATTCCTTTTTATACAACCTTATAATAATATTTGTAGCGGCCTGATAGTTTACATCTGTAAGAAATGCCGCATCCTTGACGCTGTATCCATCTTCAATAACTTTTTTTTATAAGGCTTTTTCTTTTTTCATTCGAAATCAAGTTGTTTTTTCTATTTATTTCTGACATTCTAAGGATTACAAAAAATTTTAAAAAACGCTGTGAAAATTTTTAAAAAGTTTTTGGTTATTTCAAAAAACCCTGTTAAAAGTTTAAAAAAACGAGTTGAAATACTATATATATATATATATATATATATATATATATATATATATATATATGTATATATATGCATACGTGACTTATTAGATACATGTTTACATATTGCTTAACTTCAAACCACCTAGTGTTTTGGTGCATAAGCTAATGATACTCATAAACTGTTAAAATCCAAATATATAGAACAGTTATATTGAATATAGAGTACTATAATGCGTAAAAAGAACATCATTTCAGTTAGACAGTCAATGAATGATTTCTCAGAATGATAACATTTCTTGGTGCTCTGCTTACTAAACTGTTAGTGATACGTTCGTCACTAAGTATGCTTGAGGCTATTACGAGTTTACCTTAGTCGATAAACGCGAACGAGACTTTAACCAGCATCCAGGTAGGCTACCTTGAATCCCAAGCTGAAGTAAAAAGGCTTTGGAAGCGTAGAAAGTATATTCTACAAACACCCAGCAATCACAGTACCATCAAGCATACAACTCTCGTTTATTTATACATCATAGAAACGTCCTTGTGGGACAGTTACGAAAATAGCACCCTAAAATACACAGCAGCCAATCACAGCCATGGATTTTCCAGGTGGGAATTGAAATCTCAAGGTGAACTGATCAGCCCATGCTGGCAAACGTGAAAATTAAAATAAGGCATTGATCAAGCTAATTTTGGGGATCTAACATCTTCAACAGTTAGGTTATTCATCCATTATCCCAAGTTAATTGTTTGTAAGTCTGATTCTCTGTTGGTCAATTCCTATTGGTCCATCCTAACTATCAATGTTACAGACTTCAAATGTTGTTTCCTATTCAACCTAACTGTATAAAAATACGCATTATCTGTAACGTTTTACGACCCGGACCTGGACACGGATCCTTAATCCGAGATCCTGATTCTCTTCTTGACTTGAACCTCGTACTTTCTGGATGCTTGTAGAATACAGGTTCTACTTCATATCAAGTCTTCTTCTTTTAACTCAATTGGGGTTTGGGACACTCGGATTAGTTTAGCATGTCGTTTCGCCGGATCCTCAATCCGACTAAGGTAAACTCGTAATAGTTCAAGCATATCAAATTGACGTGTTTACTTGCATGCTTAGTACAAACCTTCTCCTAACTAACTATAACATACTTACACTAACTACTTCGTCAATGTAAACTTTGATTGTACAAGTGTAACATATACTCCCAACTATTCTAGTTGATAAAGTTTCACAATCTCACTGTTGTCATTACCTAGTTAGTTCGCCTACATGAAACTATCGAATTCTCAATCAAGAGTTTCTAGTTTCTATTTTGATTAATAGTCTATCTATGACAGTCAAACGTCTTCAAGTGCAAGCAAGAATTGTACAATTAGGTCAAGACAATTTCACCATAGCTCTTTCCATTCGATAATCAATATACACATAGAGGTCAAGTTGTAAGTGTTATATTTTTCGAACGTAAATAAGTAGACAGACGTTTATTTTTTTGTACTTGCCAGCAAACGTTCTAGTTGACACAAATGGTTACACTTATTAATGTATTAGAATATGACCTTAAACCTTACAGTTTTCAGAATGTATGCATCTGTATATGTATGTATCTTGTATCGTTCATTCTTTCCAATATGCTTTCTTTTTACAAATTTATTTGTTTTAATGATAATGATAACTAGTAGTAATTCTATGCTTGTCTACTTATTCATTCATTTTCTAACTGAGATGTATGTAGCATGAGTAGTAGTTTGATGAAATACATATATATACACATGTACACGGACATGTTTAACAGGTCAATTATAAGGCTGTGCCTTAGTCAATACCGAATCTACATAATTTCTCTCTTTTAAAAGTAATTTTGAATGCATACTGCATTAGAGCTGTTCACTGTATTCTGTGCTTCCTGTGAGGCTTTTATATTCAAGTCAACTAGCAGAAGAAAGAGAAGGAGTGACAATAAGCGACATTGTTTGATACCGGCCTATATCTGGAATGAGTCTAAGCAGAGTCCTTTATGCACGATTCATGATAAATACTCCGTCCGATGTTGACTGTATTCTCAGGTACATCCTAGTGTCATAGGAGTTTCGATAATGTCATCCTGTCCTCACTGTTATATGCTTTTTTGCAGTGATGGAATTTCTTGTTGAGTGATAAGTTCTGTTCAATCGATCCTTATGGAATCCGACCTGTTGATCTTGGAGTTGGGCGTCTATACAATCTTTCAATCAGTTTAGTAACACTCTGATGAAGGCTTTTCCTGTTACTGAAAACAGTATTGATATCTTTGTAGTTATCACGTTTATCGATATCTTTCTTTGTCATCTTGATGTGGTATCCTTCTTTCCAGTCTGTCGGCACTTGTTCTTCCTCCGGAAGATATCATGTAAAATCTTTACAGTGACTGCTACGTTTGCTCTCAGTGCCTCAGCTAGTATATTATCTGGTCATTCTAATTTGTTGCTCTTGATTTATCTGATAGCCATACTGATTTCTTCAATTGTTAATGGGTCTATATGTGCTGGTAAGGATGACAGATGAATAGGTGAAACTTCATCAGTTGAGGTGGTTGTTATATGTGTTACATATGCCCAACCACTGACTGCCTCGTTGAGTTATATTTTGCGATGTACAAATAGGTTGGAAGGAAGTTAGAGGCAACCAGACCAAAACATGGCAGAAATCCATGAAGTCACTGACAAGTGGACTAAGTCATGTTGGTAAATGCAGACAACCTGGTTGGGCTCCGCAAAATGATAGTAATCGATGGATAAAGACCCTGAATTATATGGCTCTAAACTGTTTACAATGGTGCAGGTGCACCAATTCTTTGTGTTATCTCAAATTCCAACCTTCTGGACTCTTCATCACATCTCTCACTGAACTATACCTCTTGAATTAATATCTCTGAACCATAATCTCTTCGATTACTGTTAATACTTCTACTACCTTTACTACTATATCATATCAAATCCAATGCTTCACAAGGTTTTATAGCTAGTATTGGTTATCTATCGAGTGTTGAATCAGATGCCAATTGCTTCATATATTTCTAACTGTCAATATACATACAATCATTTGTGTTGCTGAATATTTAAGACATGTTCTGTAAAAAATATGTTCCGTAATTAGTACATTTTTTTGACGGTAAAAATGATACGATCCTGTATGAACAATTAATTAGTAGCATCAGTTACATCCACGCAAATGTTTTTACCTTTTTGTAGTGTAATTTTACCGTTAGTATTTCTTTTCTCTCATTGTGTGTATAGATGCTATTCTCTCTTTAAACTTGCTTGTAAAGCTTTTATTATCTGATATGGCCTACAAAAATAAAAGAATAAAATCATTGCAATTAAGCTATCTATCTATATTAGAATATTTTTAATATAAGCATTTCAAACACTTTCTTCTTGACCTACCTACCTACAAATCTTTAGAGTATAAGAATGTTCATTACGCCTTAAAACAACAACGTTATGGTTTTCTTTTTTCATACTTAATTGTAGATATCATCTATATGTTGTAATTCACCTAAAGAAAAATTCACACACACGAATTTATCATTGGTTGTTCAGATTTCTTTCACCTGCGGGTGTTGTAAAAATAAATGTATAGCTGCTTATGCTACGTAGCAGTGAATGAATGAATTTTCATGTCTCAATGTGTAACTACTTACAAATTAATAAGTAGGTTAAGAATTTGACAAAAAGTATAGAAAACTGAAGGCGCATAAAAAATGATTTAGCGGAATATACCATTGAATTGATTGTTCTGTATTGATTGATAGTTACAGGAAGACATACTGGTCCAGGAGCTATATGACATCAATAATTTAATCATTCGATATTGATATAGCTGCATGCATCGACTACGAGAAAGCATTCGATAGCGTGGATAGGAAAACACTTTGGAGGCTTCTTCGACACTACGGTGTGCCTGAGAAGATAGTTAACATCATACGGAATTCTTATGATGGATTCAACTGCAAAATCGTACACGAAGGACAGCTAACAGGTGAAGACCGGTGTCAGGCAAGGTTGCTTACTCTCACCCTTTCTCTTTCTCCTGCTCATCGACTGGATTATGAAGACGTCGACATCTGGAGGGAAGCACGGTATCAACTGGACAGTTAGGACGCAGCTGGACGATCTGGACTTCACAGATGACCTGGCTCTTCTATTGCACACGCAACAACAAATGCAAGAGAAGACGACCAGTGTAGCAGCAGCCTCTGCAGCAGTACATAAAGGAAAAAGCAAAATTCTCCGATGCAACACAACATGCACCAACCGAATCACGCTTGATGGAGATACCTTGGAGGACATTAACACCTTCACATATCTTGGCAGCATCGTCGACGAGAAAGGTGGATCGGACGCAGATGTGAGGGCGCGGATTGGCAAAGCGAGGGCTGCATTTCTACAGTTGAAAAATATCTGGATCTCCAAACAACTTTCAACCAAAACCAAAATCAGGATTTTCAATACAAATGTCACGACAGTTCTACTTTATGGAGCGGAAACTTGGAGAACTTCGAAAGGCATCATCCAGAAGATATGAGAGGAATGAACAAACATTGGACAAAATCGGAAAGGGAAGCTCAGGACAGAGTTGGTTGGCGAAAACTGGTGGGCGGCCTATGCTCCGTTTGGGGTAACAGGCGTAAGTAAGTAAGTAAGTAAGTAAGTAAGTAAATAAGCATCTAACCAAGTAACCCAAACGCATACAGTTTCTTTCAAAAATATATGATTGTGTTATTTTTTATAAGTGGAATACACTTCTAGATCAGTCAGTCATTACCTGTCATTATTTAATACCACTGTTGTTTGTGTCTGACTGAATCCTATCATCCATTACATCTGAGAAATTAGTTGGTTATCTGTGTGGAGAGAGAGAGTAGTTCGTTTACTTATTCACAAGCATTTCATTCCATTTGTTTAAATGAATGTCGTTTATCGTAAGTTTCTAGTATATATACATCTCTTTTTGTATGTCAATACTGTCTCTCGCTTACAATTCAATAAATCAATACTTTGAATTAAATTGTAGGCTGGTAAAGTTAAATCTGTCACTATTTTGAAAAATGCCGATCTAACAGCAATACATAATTGGGTAAAGAATCAATGCACTAGTCTAGTACGTGAAATCACATTTACTAATGCAGAAGAAATCACTGAAGAACGTTTACCATTAATGTTACTGTTTTATAATCCAGAGAATAAAACAATTGCTAATCGTTATGCTGAATTTGTCAATTCACATTTAAGTCAGCATCAGTGTAAGTTTTGAGAAATTTTTTTGTGTTTTGTTTAGTGCTCGTTAGTGTTAGTTCATCGTCTACACTATTATTAGTATCATTAATATCATATTATACTACTAGTGATAGTCGAAGTAGTAGTAGTATGATGGTGATTGTGCTGATTGACTGATTTGGTAAATATGGTATGTTATTCATGGTAAATTAAACCATAGTGTGTTGTTTGGCATTGTTGAACTATTAAACAATCAAAGGAATTTCCAAAGCCTGTACAAAAAAATTCATTATTTTCTTGCATTTTAAAGAGATCTTAGTGTGTGTGTGTGTGTGTGTATGGTCATTGTTAAACTTCAATTGAATATTTTGTTGTGACATTGAAAAAAGATGTGAGTGATTTATGATTGGTGTTTCATGTTTAGTATACACTAAACAACATCCAACTGGTGCTGGAATGATTTCAAACATTTGCAATCAATGAACATTGGATTGTAGAATAAATTTAATTTGATAGAAATGATGAATTATGGCAAGCAATGGAATCGAGAATGTATGTTTCATTATGTTTCCAAGTGATCAATTGACTAGACAAGAATCCTAGTGTATCTGTGATCTAACATGAGATATTTGTTTAATTGTGGCCAATTATTCTGAGTCACGTTAACCAACATCCCCCAACACTAGAAGTGATCATTGAACAGATATCTACCAACATAGATCAGTCAAAGAGTCAGTGACTTGAAGAACTTATCTTACTCGTCAAAGCATCCAGTGGTTAGCCTCACAAAATTCATCATTCAAGCAACCAAAGTCATTGAAGTTTCACTACTTCATCAACCGATTTATCATCGTTACCTTTGTACATTAGACGTCTGATCTCGATGTTAGGTTCGTCACCAAGTATACTTGAAACTATTATGGGTTCACCTTAGTCGATAAACTAGAACGAGACAATGAGCCAGAGTCTAGGTAGGCTACCCTGAATAGTTGACTAATGAAAAGTCTTGATATAGCGTAGAAAGTATATTCTACAATTACCCAGCAAGCACAATGCATTCAAGCACATAAATCTCGCTTATTTATACATCATATAAACGTCCTTGTAAGAGTCACAAAAATAGCACACTAAACTACACAGCAGCCAATCACAGCCAGGGATTTTCCTGGCGGGAAATGTGCTCTCAAGGTCAAGTGATTAGCCCATGGTCGCAAATATGAAATCCAAAATTAAGCTATTTATCAAGCTAGATCTGGGTATCTAACGTCCCCAGTACTTGGTGACGTCACCTAATGTATGAGTATAACTTCTAAACAGTCTTTGATTAAATACCGGACACCTACAAATATCAACTAATTCTAAACTGTACTCTTCATCAATATGTACATTTCGTGGTGGTGAATGAGTTACTTGATTCAATAATAATGTAGTGAAGGAGAACACAAGTGGGGCAACCGGATTGTATTTAACGAAAATTACAGAGTTACTCAGTAAAATAGGGGGAAAACCATATCGTAAATCGTTCATTTGCAAAATATCAGTTCATCATCATATCGAACTGGACTGTTCCTGTTGCAAAACATCAATCTGTTGTCACTCACTATTCATGCGTTTCATACAAATTCCATTGTGTTCTATCTAACTCTTCCTTTCTCTTGATCTTCCCCCGCCATCTTCTGCTGCCAGACATTACGCGTTGACACTCATGTCATATACTACTTATAAGTAGCTCACACCACAATAACAATACTATTAATAATAATAATAAATCTTAGGTTGTATATTATTTTTTGTAAATTATTTCCAATTTTTTTGTTCCCTTAATTTACTTTCAACAATCTCTTTCACTTCCCCCACTGTTTAGCCACGATTAATTTTGTCACAGCGAATGGGATCACTTTCTCGCATCCATTAGCTCATTTAGGCAAATCGAAAGAAGATTTACCATTTATTTGTTTAGATTCATTTGCACATATGTATGTTTATCCTGGATCATTGGAAATGGCATTAAAGTTAGTTGAGTCTTGTTTGTTGTAGTTTGTTGATCTTTCTTTTATTCTTTGTCATTATTGGATTATTTGTATGATTTATTGAAGTTATAACTTAGTTTTTGGTCAGTCTGCTCTGTGTTCAATTTGTAAATCTGTAGCTTTGATTTATGCACACTGTGATTGTGAAAGACTTTATCTAATCTCTAAAAAATGTGTAACTTAACAATCTTCACAACCCCGTAATGCAAATTACCTGTGCTCACTAGTGAATAGCTTCGTGAGGAATCTTCTCCGAGTTCTAGTGGAAAGACGTGACCAGTGAAGTTCAACCTGTGTAGACTGTGTATGAGGTTGCGCTACTCTGTGAATTCGATCAAGTTAGACATTAACACCGTTAGATACCGGCTCGGAGGTCTAACGGTTAGGGCGTTCGTGCACAATGCCGAAGGTCCTGAGTTCGAAAATTCTTTGGGGTGCAGGAGTCGTGGATGCGCGCTGCTGAGGCGTCCTATACCAGGATGGAAAGGCCGTCCAGTGCTTTCAGGTTTCTAATGGTGGTCTAACATTGATCGATTCATGGTTTCAAAAAAATGTGTAACCTAACAATCTTCACAACCCCGTAATTCAAAAATATATATTGTTAACTACTTTGTGGATGTTTTCTCTAGTTGACTTGTTTTGTTATCCACATGATTGTAGCCTTGATTATATTCACAGAATACTTAACTGACTTAGTAGTTAGTACCTTGGTACTGGGAAATCAGGAATTTGGACAAAGCAGCTACGATTATCAAGATTTATTTGACCTTCAAAATGAATTTTTGACTACAGTTATTTTTATGTGACTTATTTGTAGTCAAATTTCTATGAATTAAACTCAGTAGCTGGTATTTTAAAAATAATTTCTTCAACTTTCAAATTTACAAACACAGAATTTACAACTAGGCGTTCTTGATGAATTAATGTAACTCAATTGACTAAGAAAAAGAAAAGAAGTAATCATTCACTGACAAAGTCATTGAAATAGGCTAATCTAGCAGTCTGCTAGATTATAGCCCACTTCGATTAACTTGTTTGTGAATGATTATATTTTTAAGGAATTTACTTAACTTCCTTTATCTATGTGTTTCTGTTGACTGTTTTTGCCAATGATGTTGTTCAGAACATGAATAAAAGCTTCCGCATTTTGTCAATAAATGTAAATAATTCTGGTCCATTTCAAAAATTTGTTAAAAAATTCACATTTAGGTAGATGTGGACTACTTGTTTGAGGCTGTCCCACTTATTATATATGTAACCAAATGTTGTAACGCTTGCTTAAATATAATTCCCAGCTAAATCCTATTGCTTAGTATTCTCTGACCACAATACACTGGACAAGTTCCAAAGAATCAAAAACACGGTGGAACAGGAAAAGATTATATTCTAAAGAGCAAAGTTAAATAGTAATGAGGAGCCGAAGGCGAAGGCAAAAATAGATACTACGTTAGTTTCTTTATAGCATTTACATTAGAAGCTTCTGGATAGAAATTCACGTGATCGACTGGATTAGATTTAGCCAATTAGCATGCAGCTAACAACACGAAAATTTTCTACCATGTTCCCCAAGAGTCGACCAGGCGCTCATCGGATAAGAAACTAGCCAATCAGCGCGCAGCAACGTGCTCATGCTTTAGTTCCATCTATGTCCCACTAGCACCAAAGGATTAGAGGTTTTTAAAATCATTTGCAATGACACAGGTGTATACTTTGTTTGCTGATAAAAATTACCTTATAAAACGTTTGTGTATATTCAACTGATTCATATTTGAATCTCGAATCTTATCTCCCATGCTTAGTTATTTGTGTTGATATTCTCATAGATACTCTTACTGCTGTGGTGTACGCTACTTATGTTCACATAAGTAGTATATGATATCAAACGTCTGACAACAAAAGATCGAGAAGGAAAGAATGAGAGAACAGAAGGCGATTTGTAGGTAACGTAAAGTGAACTGAAGTCTGAACAGTCAGTCTAAATGAAAGAGAACACTGAAATCTGAAACAAATAAGGATTAGTTTGCCTGCCATCCAGGCTGTCATACACAGCCTTCGCTCGGCCGCGGAGCAGCAATCCCAAAACCACCGTCTTCTCATGCTTCCATCCGGCTAGCTCCGCCACGGCCTCGAACTCCCTCGGCCACGGTATCTTCATCCTGGCAGCGACACCAAATGTTGTGCACGAAAACTCAGGTGAAGCCATCAACATATATATTTAAACGAATATTACAGAGTTGTTAAGCATATGTACAAAACCTTCCCGTGAAATCATCATTTGCAAACGAATCCTTATTTGTTTCAGATTTCAGTGTTCTTCCATTTAGACTGACTGTTCAGACTTCAGTTCACTTTACGTTACCTGCAAATCGCCTTCCAGTTTCATTCTTTCCTTCTCGATCTTTTGCTGTCAGACGTTTGATTTCCTTTTTGATATCATATACTACTTATGTGAACATGAGAAGCGTACACCACACTGCTTCTATCACTGTAGGAGGGGTGGGATGGTGGTATGCTGTGGTTATTCTGTAGTGAAGGAGAACACAGGTGGGGCAACCGAATTGTATTTACACATTTGAAATCATCAATCAATCATTGTTAGACCACCTGGAAGCACTGGACGACCGTTTCGTCCTAGTATGGTACTCCTCAGCAGTGCGCATCCACGACTCATGCTCCTCGCAGGATTCGAACTGTGTTTAACGAAAATTACAGAGTTACTCAGTAAAATCGGAAAACCATATCGTAAATCGTTAATTTGCAAAATATCAGTTCATCATCATATCGAACTGGACTGTTCCTGTTGCAAAACATCAATCCATTGTCACTCACTATTCATGCGTTTCATACAAATTCCATTGTGTTCTATCTAACTCTTCCTTTCTTGATCTTCCCCCATCTTCTGCTGCTGTCAGACATTACGTTGACACTCACGTCATATACTACTTATAAGTAGCTCGCACCACAATTCCATCTCGTTGTGTTTAATAAGATTTGGCAATTTGAACCAATGTCACCTTATATGCCAAGTTATACATTGTATCTGACTAGTTGGTACTGCTCTATCATACGATGAACATGTCTATATGTGTGTGTATGTGTCTGTCCTGTGTCCTCCTCCTTTTTTTTCAATTATTCTCTTTTCAGATTTTTTGCCGTTAATTTTGTTGTTGTTGTTATATATATAAATGTATATATATATGTACATATTTTTCTCCTTAATTAGTGATCCAAAACATTTGGATCAATTTATTGAAGATTTAAAATCTGGCAAATTACACATGGAATATCATTATGGAACAGATAGTCAAACAACAACTACATCTGCACAAACTGAAGAAGACGATGAATCAGACAATGTAAGTGATCTAATGATTATCTGCCTAATTATTTATTCTATATTACTTACTATACAAGTGATTTTATTTATCATTAGGTAACTTTTATGAGAGCAATTACATCACATCAATATTATTCATCAATGTTACATCTTTTGAAATCATCAATCAATCATTGTTAGACCACCAACATTAGAAACCTGGAAGAAGCATTGGACATGATATACGGAGCTTGCGCGACCTCACCCGTAGATCAATTAGTCAGTTAGTCATGAACACCGTTGGATGCCGGCCCATTGGTCCGATGGTTAGGCGTTCGCTCACAATACCGAAGGTCCCGGGTTCGACTCCTGCGAGGTCCAGGAGTCGTGGATGCGCACTGCCACTGATGAGTCCCATACCAGGACGAAACGGCCGTCTTCCGTTGCCTTCAGGTTTCTAATGGTGGTCTAACAATGATTGATTGATGATTTCAAATGTGTGAAAACACAAACCTCCAAAACTCTACCCCAAAATATTACGTCTTTGTGGTGGTGTTTTGTTCTCTGAGCTGGTTGTTTTGATTGTGGAGCTTTCATTGTTCTTCTGAAAAACATCATCAGCACAAACATCTTTCAAATTCCTCTAGTTCCTACCAATTTTAATCATCCCACTTAGGTATTACGTACTTGCTTATGCCTGCTACCCCCATTGGAGCATAGGCCGCCGACCTGCATTCTCCCACCAACTCTGTCCTGGGTTTCCCCTCCTAGTTCTTTCCAGTTTTTGTTCATTCTTTTCATATCTGTCTCCATTTCTCAGCGTAATGTGTTCCTTGGCCTTCCTCTTTTCCTTTCGCCTTGAGGGTCCCAAGTGAGGGCTTTTCGTGTGACGCAGTTGGATGCTTTTCGCAGTGTTTGTCCTATTCACTTCCACCGCTTCTTCTTGATTTCCTCCTCCACTGAAATCTGGTTTGTTTTCTCTCATAGTAGGTGGTTGCTGATCGTGTCTGGCCAACGGATCTGAAGTATTTTGAATAGACAACTGTTTATAAATACTTGTATCTTCTGGATGATGCCTTTCGTAGTTCTCCAAGTTTCCGTCCCATATAGTAGAGCTGTCTTGACATTTGTATTGAAAATTCTGACTTTCGGTATGGTGTTGGTTGCTATTTGTTTTCAGTTCCAGATATTGTTCAGTTGTAAAAATGTAGCCCTTGCTTTCCTGATCCACGCCTTCACTCACACAGCTATAATTAACTTAAAATACCTCGTCGTGCATCACTGTTGTGTAATGATGATGATGATGATGAGAGGACTAAAGGATTATATACTTATTTATCTAATTTCTCATCAATGTAGTTCTTACGCTCGTCACTTGATATGTTTGAAACTATTACGGATTCACCTTAGTCGCTAAACGAGAACGAGACAATGAACCAGTGACACGATATGCTACTCTGATCGGTTGCTCCAAAAGGAACTAACGAAGAAGTCTTGATATAGCGTAGAAAGTGTATTCTACAAACACCCAGCAAATACAATGATGTTAAGTACACAAATCGTGTCTATTTGTACATGATCTTGGGAGAGTCACAAAAATCGCACACTAAAATAACACATAAACTAATCACAACCAAGGATTCTCTTGGTGGGAAATGTGATCTTAAGGTCAACTGATCAGCCCAAGAAACAAATCCAAAATAAAGATATTTATCAAACGAGTACTGGGGATCTAACGTACTCAACAGCAGTATATATTGGAGTTGGATTGGTCTTCTATTATTATTATTACCCAAAGGGTTGCTCAGCTTTTTGAGTATTAGTTTATGCTTTACTGGTTCATACTATACTTAATTCTCTACCGACAATCCAACTATATTAGTGGGTAATACTACAAAACATACAATACTCGAAACTTCTCTACTGAATCTATGATTATTATTTCTGACTAGTTGTGTGGTGCGCTCTACTTATAAGTAGTATATGACGTGAGTGTCAACGTAATGTCTGGCAGCAGAAGATGAGGGAAGATCAAGAAAGGAAGAGTTAGAAGAACACAATGGAATTTGTATGAAACGCATGAATGAATAGTGAAATGTCAGACAATGGATTGAAGATTTGCACATTAACCGTTTACGATATGGTTTTCCTATTTTACTGATTAACTCTGTAATTCGGTTGCCCTCACCTGTGTTCTCCTTCACTACAGTTGTACCTTGATAAGTTCAATAGATAAGATCTATTTTGAATGTGAAATTTCTCTTGCTAATCGATTATCAATTCATCAACGTGTTTGAGAAGTGAAACAACCTGACCTGCAACATTTTCACACAAATTTACATTTTTTTTTAAAGAAAAAGCTGAAAACTGGTTAATTAATAATTTTACAGATTTCTAAATTATGTGAAAAATGTTGAATGTTGTGCATATTGTGTATTTTGTGTGTAATATGTGAACTAATTTAATTCTTTGTGAATAAGCATGAGATTCGGTTTCATTTTGTTAGAAAAGTATATAGCACAATTGTGTCTCTGTGTTAATTTGGTATGGTAACCTGAACTGATGTACATAAGTACGTATGTACGAAGTTCTACGTTGTTGACTGAGTAAAGTATAGATATTATGATTTATGTTGCTGTTTCCTTTCATTTCGGTTTTATGGTATATTATTTCTATGAAAGCTAATGATGATCTCTATCTGTCAATGCTCAGGGTATGCGAAGTGTGTTGTTACGAAGAGCAAAGGACATTCGTAGGTTACTAGTCTTCGATCATAGGTGTATCCGAAGCATTGCTTGTGTATCATGGGACAACCGAGTAAGCGATGCTGTCTGGAGGAAACGGGTGCTAGGTAAGGATGCGAGATCAATAGATGAAGTAGTGAAACTTCATCAGTTGAGGTGGTTGGGACATGTGTTACGTAAGCCTAACCACCGACTGCCGCGACGAGCTATGTATTGTGGTGTAGGAGTAGGTTGTAAGCAAGCTAGGGGCGGCCAAACCAAAACATTGCAAAATTCCGTGAAATCACTAACATGTGGAATGAGCCATGTGGATAGATGTAGGCTACCTGGTTGGGGTCCACGAGTCGAAAGTCACCTATGGTTAGAGACCTTGAACGACATGGCTTAGAATCGTTTGCAATGGCGCAGGTGCATCCACTCTTTGTGTGCTTTTTAATTCTAACCTTCTGAATTCCTCACTTAGATCTTTCTCTTTCTAACTTTATCTCACTGAATTGTATTTCTTGAATAATATCTTTTCTCCCTAATCTTCTCCATTGCTGCTAATAATTCTACTATCGCAATCACTCTTGTATTTGAACTGACAGTTGCATCTCTGTGCTGATGTAGTATGGCAACCTGTACTGATGTACTTACGTACGAACTTCTGTGTTGTATATGTCTGTCTGTGCTGCTTAAATCTACAGCCCACTGGATGAAAGGCAAATTCTTTATTGAAACCTGGTTAGATTTAATGTACAACTCTTCCCTAATTACGTGAGTGTAGCATCAGTAGAATTTCTTATTGAATACTTTCAACAACCTAAGATCTCACCGACTGCCGCGACGAGCTATGTATTGTGGTGTAGGAGTAGGTTGTAAGCAAGCTAGGGGCGGCCAAACCAAAACATTGCAAAATTCCGTGAAATCACTAACATGTGGAATGAGCCATGTGGATAGATGTAGGCTACCTGGTTGGGGTCCACGAGTCGAAAGTCACCTATGGTTAGAGACCTTGAACGACATGGCTTAGAATCGTTTGCAATGGCGCAGGTGCATCCACTCTTTGTGTGCTTTTTAATTCTAACCTTCTGAATTCCTCACTTAGATCTTTCTCTTTCTAACTTTATCTCACTGAATTGTATTTCTTGAATAATATCTTTTCTCCCTAATCTTCTCCATTGCTGCTAATAATTCTACTATCGCAATCACTCTTGTATTTGAACTGACAGTTGCATCTCTGTGCTGATGTAGTATGGCAACCTGAACTGATATACTTACGTACGAAGTTCTGTGTTGTATCTGACTATCTGTCTGTGCTGCTTAAATCTACAGTTCACTGAATAAAAACCAAATTTTTTATTGGAACCTGGTTAGATTTAATGTACAATTGTTCCCTAAATATGTGAGTGTAGCATCAGTAGAATTTCTTGTTGAATACTTTCAACAACCTAAGATCTCACCGACTGCCGCGACGAGCTATGTATTGTGGTGTAGGAGTAGGTTGTAAGCAAGCTAGGGGCGGCCAAACCAAAACATTGCAAAATTCCGTGAAATCACTAACATGTGGAATGAGCCATGTGGATAGATGTAGGCTACCTGGTTGGGGTCCACGAGTCGAAAGTCACCTATGGTTAGAGACCTTGAACGACATGGCTTAGAATCGTTTGCAATGGCGCAGGTGCATCCACTCTTTGTGTGCTTTTTAATTCTAACCTTCTGAATTCCTCACTTAGATCTTTCTCTTTCTAACTTTATCTCACTGAATTGTATTTCTTGAATAATATCTTTTCTCCCTAATCTTCTCCATTGCTGCTAATAATTCTACTATCGCAATCACTCTTGTATTTGAACTGACAGTTGCATCTCTGTGCTGATGTAGTATGGCAACCTGTACTGATGTACTTACGTACGAACTTCTGTGTTGTATATGTCTGTCTGTGCTGCTTAAATCTACAGCCCACTGGATGAAAGGCAAATTCTTTATTGAAACCTGGTTAGATTTAATGTACAACTCTTCCCTAATTACGTGAGTGTAGCATCAGTAGAATTTCTTATTGAATACTTTCAACAACCCAAGATCTCACCGACTGCCGCGACGAGCTATGTATTGTGGTGTAGGAGTAGGTTGTAAGCAAGCTAGGGGCGGCCAAACCAAAACATTGCAAAATTCCGTGAAATCACTAACATGTGGAATGAGCCATGTGGATAGATGTAGGCTACCTGGTTGGGGTCCACGAGTCGAAAGTCACCTATGGTTAGAGACCTTGAACGACATGGCTTAGAATCGTTTGCAATGGCGCAGGTGCATCCACTCTTTGTGTGCTTTTTAATTCTAACCTTCTGAATTCCTCACTTAGATCTTTCTCTTTCTAACTTTATCTCACTGAATTGTATTTCTTGAATAATATCTTTTCTCCCTAATCTTCTCCATTGCTGCTAATAATTCTACTATCGCAATCACTCTTGTATTTGAACTGACAGTTGCATCTCTGTGCTGATGTAGTATGGCAACCTGTACTGATGTACTTACGTACGAACTTCTGTGTTGTATATGTCTGTCTGTGCTGCTTAAATCTACAGCCCACTGGATGAAAGGCAAATTCTTTATTGAAACCTGGTTAGATTTAATGTACAACTCTTCCCTAATTACGTGAGTGTAGCATCAGTAGAATTTCTTATTGAATACTTTCAACAACCTAAGATCTCATTATAGATTTGAATCACAGTCAAGTTACTTATATTACTGTCCACACATAGTAATAAAATCGATGAGATTTGATCAACACTAAACGACTATGCAAACATGTTTATTTGTCCCCACTACTCAATGATAAATCATTCGGGACCTTCAAATCTTTTTATCACTAAAATTTTAATAAATCTAAACATTATACGTTGTGTATTATTCTATGTTTATCATCCTATTAACAATTTTTTTCAAAATGGATTTAGTCATCTAACAAACATATTCAAACATCATATCGAATTTCATCGGTTTGATCCATTATTTTGTATATTCATGTTTTAACTACTTTCTTTATTTAAGTAGTATTATGTTATTGTTAAAAAGAAAAGCATATGATTAACCTAATCATTTTGTTTCTATTTGTAGACTACACCACATGTTTCTGTATTCCAACGTTTAAGTCCATCAAGAATGCGATATACAATTATACATGATGAATTTTAACAAAATGCAAACATATATAAATATATATTTTTCTATATAGTCAGTCTACCACCATCTTGTAATTTTTTTTTCTAAAATACACCCCCCTTTTTTTGGTACCAAAAAAATAAAAAACACTACAGGATTTGGAGGGAAAAAAAAATCGTGATTAATATTTTGTGTTCTGTTCTCACCATATATATATATATACATATATATATTTTTTTTTTTCTTTTCATTGCATATGTTATTTTCTGTACGATGAGTTGTATACTTTTTTTTTACTGGTAAAGGTTTATATGTATGTAGGTCGGTAGGTAGGTTGATGTATTTTGTATGCGTGTGTGTACACACTTGTTGATGTGTATGTACTAACTTCGATATCCGCCCTCTTCACTTCTATTCTTTTTCGTTGTTGTATATTAATTCTTTTTCTACTCAACTTATATAATTTGAATAAATAAATAAACTGAACCACTAACTCTACCTACCAAAACAGACGACGACGACTGACTAGGTAGGTAGGTGATGATGATGACTGGAAAGAGTTCATCGTTCCATCTCGGTTATGCTTGAATCTCTCTCTCTCTTTTGCTTTTGAAAGCATATATTGATATACTATTTATTATTATTAATGCTCTTAGTAGTTGAATTACTTTTTTATTTTAAAAATTGATTATTTGACTGTTTCACCATCATCATCATCATGATGTGTGTGTGTACTGTTCGTTTTTTATTGAAAAGATTCTTCTGTTGTTTTTTTCTGTATTGTTTGTATCATTAAAAAAATGAATTATTTGTCTTTCATTGTTCCCTTATTTCTTCTGCTCTTATTGTTATTATTGTTACACTTTCAAATGATTCCACTTTTCTATGCCGTAACATGGTGTAAAAGTGTAGTCTCAAAATCACTGTGAGTGTGTGTGTGTGCCGATCCACACATAACCGCTGTGTGTGTGTGTGAATAAATTGTAGTGCCTATGGCCAAAGAAAGCAGAAAAGTGTATAAATTACATAATTTGGTGAATGAATGAATGAATGAATGAATGATCAACAACAATGATTTAGAAAAGTTTGTATAATTTTTTTCAAATAGTAGATAGGTTTCCTTAATTGTTGTAATCTTAGAAAATGGCTACTTTTTTATATATATATTCCATTTCATGGTGATGAATTAAAGATATAATTTTCCTTCCTGTTTTTGCTAGTTGGATATTGGGGTTGTTTTTTTTCATGTCTTTTGTAACTGTTGTGTTTTTTGGAATTCTATTATCTTATCTTATTATCCTTATCCAGTGTGTGTATACACAATGTCATTAAATAAAGAAATTTGTAACATTTGAAATGGATTGTTCTTTCTTTTTCTTTTTTCGCGTGTCTGATTCTCTATTCTTTGTAGTGTATACATTCTGTGGTGAATATTGTTTGTGGAGGAAAAAATTGTTGACGATAGTAGCAGTGTAATGTGCGCTACTTATGTTCACATAAGTAGTATATGATATCAAATAGGAAATCAAACGTCTGACAGCAAAAGATCGAGAAGGAAAGAATGAGAGAACAGAAGGCGATTTGTAGGTAACGTAAATTAGTGAACTGAAGTCTGAACAGTCAGTCTAAATGAAAGAGAACACTGAAATCTGAAACAAATAAAGATCCGTTTGCAAATGATGATTTCACGGGAAGGTTTTGTACATGTGCTGAACAACTCTGTAATATTCGCTTTAATATATATGTTGATGGCTTCACCTGAGTTTTCGTGCACAACAGTAGTAGTCTAGATTAAGTGAACACTCCAACGACTACGAATTGAGTATAGTTGATGTCAAATATTAGAGTGAATTCCGGGCAAAAGTAGTATCTAACATAGTTTCTGTAAGAGAAATATAGTTTGGTTGGACAAAATATGTAGCTAAATCAAATATTCTAAAAACGGAGTTACAGCAAGCAGTTAACAATGATATATATATAAGACATAGCTTACACCTTCTACTCCTAATGAAGCATAGACCGCTGACTAGAGAATTATTTTCCCTGGTTACCGTTTCTTTTAGCGAGTTGGTTGGGGTGGCTAACCTCATGCTCAGCCCTCCTTTATCTGGGCTTCAGACCAGTAGTAATCCCAGAAGGGCTCTAGGCGTAGATAACATTCTGATATTAATCGATATTAGCTAGAAGTTGGGAAGTAATTTCAAAAACTTCTCCAAAGGTCAGTTTATCAACAGAAAACTCAGGGTATCTACAGAGTTACAATTAATATTGCGATCCTAGGAGTTATTGGAATATATTCTAAAGTTGTCTAATCAAAAAGGGAGTGTAAACCATTGCTTTTTTTTAAATTGTCAAAGGATGCTAATCGGTTGAAGTATTATCGAACTTCTGAGTATTCATGAGGCGTTCTCGATGGCTCCTAACGCACATATGGTGTAGGTTTTTGCACGGAATATAACTTAGTTAAGGTGTACATCATTTACAACCAAGAATGAGAAACCAAATATCTTTATATTATTAAGATTGACTTCGTTCGTGTCAAAGTGAAGTTACACAAAATCCTCCTTGGTGAAAATAATTTCCATCTGAAACATAATTCAATAACAATTCTTTGATTTATTATCTCTCTTTGTTCATAGTAAACTGTCAACTAAATCATGTTATCACTAAATTTAATGATAAACATTCTTGTATTGTACAAATTTTCATTAAGTCGAAATAATTTTATGTATATACTACTTTTCAGATGATTCATTGACTTCATATATAATTCGTTAAACTTATAATGATTCTACTACTTAAAAAAATTTCGTGTAAATTATTTATAATTTAACAAGTAAACTTGTGGTGTGAGCTACTTATAAGTAGTATATGACGTGAGTGTAAACGTAATGTCTGGTAGCAGAAGATGGGTGAAGATCAAGAAAGGAAGAGTGGGAACACAATGGAATTTGTATGAAACGCATGAATAGTGAGTGACAATGGATTGATGTTTTGCAACAGGAACAGTCCAGTTCGAGATGATGATGAACTGATATTTTGCAAATGAACGATTTACGATATGGTTTTCCGATTTTACTACTGTAACTCTGTAATTTTCGTTAAATAAAATTCGGTTGCCCTCACCTGTGTTCTCCTTCACTACAAACTAATCATTTAGTTCGATTTAAAAAATCAGATCACACTAATATGAATTCAAACAGGTTATCATTATACTATGGTAAGAAATAGAAATCAACTTAACAATTGCTAATAATGTAAAGCAAATGAAGATTGTAAAATTTCATGGTTATGACGATTAACTCAGTCAGTTAGTTAGTTACAACGTAAAACTTGGTACGTATGTACACCAGTTCAATTTGCCATACAACATTAGTACAGAGACGCAATTGTCACTTCAAATCATACAGTAGTAGAGATAGTAGAAGTATTAGTAGCATTAATCGGAGAGATTAGGGTTCGAAGGAATTATTCAAGAAGTAGAATCTAGTGAAATAAAGGTGATGAGGAATTCTGAAGGTTAGGATTTGATAGAACACAAAGAATGAATGCACCTGTGCCATTGCGAACGGTTAGTCGTTATCGACGATTAACTATGTTGTTAGGTCTGAAAAGAAGTCAAAACAATAAGGGGTTATTTTTAAGCAAATTTGTATCATGACTAGCAGTGGAAAACGAGAAGCGTATATCATCTTACTGGAGAGTTATTCGTTGAATTTACCTTTTAGTGGCCTGGTTTGTGACGATTAATTATGTTAATCAAAATAAATCTTTCATTTTATTTCCGTATATTATGCTCAGGCGAACTTTGTTTGTTTGTGTGACGGTGATAATTAAGAGACTAATACCGTTTTAGCTGGATGGATTTATTTCATTCACACTGACTTAAGCAGACAGACCTAATAATGAGAAGCATATAAGCGAAGCGTCACAAAACAAAGAAGGCGAGTAGGCCAATTCCCTACAACTAGATTAGTCACACTAGGCGGTTCATCACTAAACCTACATCCGTATTTTATAACTAAATGGCTTACACGATTGCCATCTCAAGCGAAGAGGTTTGGTTTCAGGTCTTGATGTGACCACCAACACTCACAGTTCCGGTATATACAGCTAACGACTCCCAAGTATGACAAAACCCACCTCTTACCTTCACACGCTACTCACTATTCATATGACTTCTTGTAGAATTACTTGTGACTTATTTATTTATCAAGACAAGATATGCTTAGGTTGTATGTATGTTAAAAAAAGACTAATTTATTAAGGCATTTAGCATTACCATTGAGAAGTTTCAAACTATTATAAAAGAATAAGAATAAATTTTTTTTTCATTTAGAATAGTTTTCTGAACGTAATAAATTATAATGTACATAGTTGTTTGATTCCTTACCATATCAAAACAGAGATCGCACACATATCTATGAATTACAAAAATATCACTAATCACATAATTACTAAAACCTACGAATTTCGCTTATACCTTGTTTGTATTTGCTCGATCAGACACTAATCAAACATGGAATACGGTTTCCAGTAATATGAAGGGTTTTTTCAGGGAAATGATTTGAGTTGAATTCCGTTATTAAGAAAGAGCACACCATTTCTAACTATACCCAGTCGTATTTTCAGTATAAAACCTTTATTACTCATCCATGCACCTTCTGTTTTCACTTTTTTGTAGATCACCACCACACTACTAATAAAAAACTAGTAGTTAAATCATATCCAGACAATTTAGTGGAGCGAATCCAGCAACGCCAGGCCAAAATTTATTATCATCCAATTTTATGTTATCCGTTTATCTTAAGTAGATCTAGAAATTTTTTTGATACAATTTATGCTGAAGATGTGTTTTCTTGTTTTATTCCACCAATCAAGAAAAAATATCATGGACATTCAAGTTAGGATTCCTTTGAACAACAATTACAGCTGCTTTGGTTTAAATTATAAACTAGTATCAGTAACCTAGATAAAAATAGTGTTGCACAAATCTGAGAACATAATCATATACTCAGTAAATGTAAAGGTTCGTCTTTAGTATCAATAATTCAGATATACTGTGCACCATTAAGTTAGAGCTGACTGTACATGTAAGAAAATTGTCTTTCATATATATATCTATGTTTTATGACTGGTTAAACTGTGTTTCTGTCGTCAATAAAAGTACATAACTTTCGATCATTGATAGTTTAGGTTGTATCCACAATGTTTTCAATGTTTGATAAGTTTATTGTTATCCAGTGCTTTCGGCTATTTAAATGTGCTGGATATTGGGGTAATTTTCACTAAACATGTAGTGAAGGAGAACACAGGTGGGGCAACCGAATTGTATTCAACGAAAATTACAGAGTTACTCAGTAGTAAAATAGGAAAAACCATATCGTAAATCGTTCATTTGCAAAATATCAGTTCATCATATCGAACTGGACTGTTACTGTTGTAAAACATCAATCCATTGTCAGTATTCATACGTTTCATACAAATTCCATTGTGTTCTTCTAACTCTTCCTTTCTTGATCTTCCTCCATGTTCTGCTGCCAGACATTACGTTGACACTCACGTCATATACTACTTATAAGTAGCTCGCACCACAAACAATTTATTTCACATGTATGGAACTAACTCTCTAGAAATATTTTCTATGAATATGTCAGTATATCACAGCCCGATGTGCCAAAAAAACGTCAAAAATATTGTTCACATTGGTAGTTCAAATGGATGGCTCTAATATGCAACACTCACCCTTTGAATGAACAGATGAAATGAAAGAAACTGAGTATAATCTCATATCCATAACTCATTAAAACCATTCGAATTGTGTACTAAAGTAATAATTTTATCTTATCACAAGTACAAATAAATATCATTTAGTGAACAAGTAGATTCTATTACGCATGCAATGTAAACACGTTAATTTGATATACTTGAACTATTACGAGTTTACCTTAGTCGGAAAACGAGAACGAGGTTCGAGGATTCGGCGACACGACAGACTACTCTAATTCGAACGTCCAAACCCCCATTGAGTAAAAGAAGAAGATTTGATATGAAGTAGAACCTGTATTCTACAAGCATCCAGAAAGAATGAGAGCCGAGTCCAGAAGAAGGCAAGGATCCCGGACTAGAGATCCGTGTCCGGGTCGTGAAACGTTACAGATAATGCGTTTTTATACAGTTAGATCGAATAGGAAACAACATTTGAAGAATATGACATTGATAGTTAGGAAGATCAGTTGGAACTGACCGACAGAATTAAACTCACAAATCATTCTCTTAGGATATTGGATGAATATCCTAACAGATTCTCAACAAAATAACGGTGTAAGTCGAATCAAAATAATATAACATATT